TGTTTTTTATTTACTTGTTTCCATTCTTTTTTCTTAAATTAAGAAATTACATTCTGTTATGATTCTGTGGTTAGGTTAATTATATTCATGCTAATCACGTGCGCATAAATTAAAATGGCGTCAAACCACAAACCCACGCAGTGGCTGCAGCTGGATTTTGTCTTCCATTTTGTTCTCTGTCCTCGCTTCTTTTTGAAACTACCTTTGTGGTCCTTGACCCAAGCCCAGAGGAGTGATGTAAAAGTCACTTTGAGCTGTTCTCTAGTTTAAGAGATTATCCGGTGTATAGAAGAAGATGAAAGAAGAAGAAGAAGAAAAAGTCTGAAGAATTTTGTAGAAATTTGAATTTGGGCCTGTTTTCCAGAAATGCTCCCGCTACATTACGGTTCACTTTAAAGGTACCAGGAGAATCGCTCAGTGAAGGAGAGCTCATCTAAGCCATTTATAAGGCTGTACAACGTAAGATAAAAGAGATACAAGTGTTTGAAAATCATAAAAACGGACGCCATCTTGAAAAATCAACCTCAATCCTACATATAGGCTACCGCCTATATAATAATTAAAGTCAGTTTATTAAAAAGTTAATGACAATTTATTAAACAATAAAAAATAGCTAGCGTGAAGTTTCATTCTCAGTACAGTACTGTCACATCACTTGTAGCAATGATCAGTAACAGATGTTCTCAGCTGCTTTGCTTTTGCCTTCTTCTCTCTGCAATCGAAAGTAATTGCGAGTATCAGTGCTCTCATCACGGAGAGGAAAAAGTACACAAAGCCACTGCTGTTTACCGGTTGTAAGTAAGTATATAACACATATTTTTCATTACTAGATAACAAGGGTGCATTTAAGAAAGCCTGGACATTCAGCTGTGAAGCGCTCATTGACCGATGATGTCTTTAATCAGACATTTCGCGTTTATACTCACTATGACAGCTCGTTTTCATCTGGGTAAGTTTTTGAGTATAACTTATATGCAGCTCCTGTCTTCCTTTTTGTACAGATTATCTTCAGGAGTGCAGTCTAGAATTAGGGTTAGCCTAACTAGATATGAACACATGCCCATGTTTTGTCTTTTCTTATTTAAAGGACATCGTGAAGAATGTGACTGACTTCTTACAGGAAACATTATCTGTCAGGCAAACTCCATCCCCCATTCTACTAGACAGGTAGGCTAACAAGTGTCTCATTCCTTTAACTTGTATTTCTTTCTGTAGGGATTGTTCCAATGGTAGATTCTATATAACATCTGGTGATGTTAGACCATGTGTCCAACAATGTGAAACAACTACAACTTGTGGAACTGCTACTGTACCTCAGGACCATTTACTGGTAAATATAGTTATGCAAATTAAGTAACCAGCATCCTATAGACTAATATTATTTACTTACTTATCAAATTATCAAGTCGGTATACTAATTTTCATGTCACATGTTTTACTTATGACTGAAGCATGCAATATCCATTATAGTACAATTATGCCATACATCTATTTCCTATATTGTGCAGCGCTGTAGTCAATGTGGAGGAAGCTTTAGCAATTGTGCTGAGTCTGGTACTGATGGTGCTGGTGTTAGCAATGTTGATTATGTCTTATACATATCTGCTGTTAGTACTGGCTCATGTACTAATGGTGGGTCTACCATTGCTTTTGCTGGAGCTTGTCAAATGGAAGATGAGTATGACAGGTAATAGGAGAAAGAGGGGGGGATGAGGAAGGGAAAGATATCTGAGAGAAAGAAAACAAGAGTGGGAGAAAAAATTCAAAAAATTTTGTACAGTAAATAATTTGTTGACTTTTTTACACATACATGTAGGCCAATTGCTGGGTACATAAACTTCTGCTCTGGAGGCATTACAAGTGGTAGTAGCGACCTATTCATATTCACTGTGGCTAAGCATGAAGTATTGCATGCTTTGGTAAGCTGTCCCATTGTTTTTATTGACACTACAGTATACTACATGCTTTGGCACTGTCTTTATCTACAACCTGACTTAGCAAGCTAACTCAGCCAACTATCAAAATAATGATTAAATATTATTGCTGCTTAATGTAGGGATTCTCAAAGGGTTTGTTTCCATGGTTTAGAGATGAAAATGGTAACCCAAGGACTCCTAGAAATTCAAATGGATTTCCACCATCAGCTTCGGGAGGGTAAGTGAGACGATACTGAGATAATAATAATTATTATTATGGAAATTCATTTGCTATCATTATTGATAGTGGTTACATGGCTTCCAATAATACAGTTAGAGTGGTCACGTATAACGACTGGTGGACAAAGGATGGAGTTGTTAGTAAAACAGTTACTTTGTTAGTTACTCCGAAAGTTGTGGTAAGGAAAATGATATGCCATCATGATTCATGATAATGATCTTCTACTCTATTACACATTGTATTATCACAGGAAATAGGAAAGATTCATTTTAATTGCAGTACTCTAGAAGGAGTGCAGTGGAAGATCAGGGGGGGTC